TGAATTATGGTGTTCGAGGAGAATACTAAAAGTGCCATGGACTGCCAAAAGAACCAATAGATTTGTTTTGGAAGAAGTGCAGCCAGAGTGCTCCTTAGAGACCAAGATGACCAAACTTTGTCTCTCATACTTTGGACATATTGTCAGGAGGGAACAGTTGCTGGAGAAGGATATCATGTTTGGTAAGATGGAGTGTCAGAGAAAAAGAGGAAGACCTCCAGTGAGATGGATTGGCCAGGTGGTAGCACCGATGGATTCAAGTGTGGCAACTGTAGTGAGATTCGCCCAGGATCGGACATTGTTTTGTTTTGCTGTGCATAAGGTCGCTATGAGTCGGTGCCGACTTGATGGCACCAAACAACAATAAGTTGTTAAGTGCTGTCTAGGCAGTTGCAACTCATAGTAACCCTATATAGTGTTTCCAAGGATGTAGGAGCTGAAAGCCTCATTTTCCCCCAGTGAGCCATTGGTGGGTTCAACCCACTGACCTTGTGGTTTGAAATCCAGTGTTTATCCTACAAAGCCACTATGCTCCGATATTGATACTTCTTGTTGTTGAATACTGTCAAGTTGGTTCCAACTCAAATCAACTCTATGTACAATAGAACGAAACACAATCTGGTCTTATGCCATCCTCGTAACTGCTACTACAATTGAGACCATTGCTGCTGCCACTGTGCCAATCCATCTCCTTGGAGGTCTCCCTCTTTTTTTGCTGACCCTCCACTTTACCAAGATTGATGTCCTCCCTCAAGGACTGGGTGTCCTGATAATATGTCCAAACTATGTGAGACCAAGTCTAGTCATCTTGGTTTCTAAGGAATGTTCTGGTTGTACTTCTTCCAGCACAGATTTGTTTCTCCATTTGGAAGTCCATGGTACCTTTAATATTATTGTCCAACTCAAACGCATCAATTCTTCTACTGTCTTCCTTTACACATGCCTATGAGTTATTGATAATACCATGGCTTAGGTCAGGTGCCCTTTAATTCTCAAACTGATATCTTTGCTCTCGAACACTTTAAAGAGTCTTGTGCAGCAGATTTGCCTAATGCAATACATCATTTGATTTCTTGACTGCTGCTTCCATGAGTGTTGATGGTGGAGCCAAGCAAAATTAAGTCTTTGACAATTTCAATCTTTTCTCCATTTATCATGATGCTATTTATTGGACCAGTGATAGTTTTTTGTTTTCTTTACATTGAGGTGCAACCCATACTAAAGACTGTAGTTTTTTTAATCTTCATCAGTAAGTACTTTAGGTCCTCTTCACTTTGAGGAAGCAAGGCTGTATCATCTCCATATGGAAGGTTGTTCATAAGTCTTGCTCCAATCCTGATGCCACATTCTTTTTCATATAACCCAGCTTCTCAGATTATTTGCTAAACATAGAGATTGAATAAGTATGGTGAAAGAATACAACCCTGGAACAAACACCTTTCCCCTTGCTCTGTTTCCCCTTGCTCTGTTCAATCGACTGCTCTTGGTATATGTACAGATTCCTCATGAGCACAATTAAGTGTTCCAGAATATTCAATCTTTGTAATGTTGTGTATAGCTTGTCATGGCCCACACAGTTGAAAACCTTGCATAGTCAATAAAGCACAGGTAAACATCTTTCTGATATTCTCAATTTTCAGCTAAGATCCATCTGACACCAGCATTTATATCTCTTGTTCCACATTCTCCTCTGAAACCAGCTTGAACCTTGGCCTGTCATAATACGGTTGCAGTAATTTTTTAATTATCTTTAGCAAAATTTTACTTGCATACAACAAAAATAATTGCAAAAATCATGGCTTCCTCTGGCTTTACAAGACAGAAATAGAATCAAACTCAAAATTAACTATGAAGCGGTCAAACATGTCTCTACCCTACAACTTTCTTTACCCTGTTCTGACACCAATCATCCGCCCCACAGCAGTCTCTGATTTACATCAGGGCTCTGTAATCCATTGCAATGGCCACGCACAACTCATAACAATGCTCTCAATTCTAGGCTTTATTAGGGAATCGCAACCAACTCAGGATGCAGCAGTTCTGCAGTCAGGAATGCCTCTTCTCTGCCATACTGCAGATGCACCTCACTCTTTGTTTTCAGCCTTTCAACCATGTGGTCCCTTGGCCTCTGTCCTACCCTAGTACATGTTACAAAGTTTTTCAGCCTGTCTGTGAGTGCCCAAAGAGCACATTCTTTGAGCCAATCTCTTGCCTGTAGGTACTCAGCTTTACTCAGTCCATAGATTTGAAGATCGAAGCTGCTCTGTCTCTCCATGCCACTGACTCTGCTATTGCCTTTCCTATCCCCTCTACTGTCGCCTCTGTTTCTCACACTTTACTCATATACTTCCTTCTTGATAGTCCTAGGATCTTCCATCACTGCTTCTGATATGGCTCCTTCTGAACCTAGCTTGAGAGCAAGACTAACCAATCCCAGCCGTAGAGTCCTGAATACCTTATTTGCATGGTCCCACCCAATCACTTAGTGGGAATTAAAACTTTGAATAAACACGACATATCAAATAAATTCAAGACACCATGATGATATTGTCCGATAATTTCCACATTCTGTTGGGTCACCTCTCTTTGCACAAATATGCATTTCTTCCAACTAGTGGCACATCAGTTTGTTAAAAGATTTCAATTTGCATTCAATTAATTCCGGAGCCTTGTTCTTTGCCAATGCCTTCAGTGCACCTTGGACTTCTTCCTTCAGTATCATTGGCTCTTGACCATATGATACTTCTTGAAATGGTTGAACATAGGCCAATTCTTCTTGCAACAACGATTCTGTGTATTCCTTCCATCTTCTTTTGATGCTTTCTGCATCATTCGATATTTTGCCCATAGAATCCTGCAATAGTTCAAGTCAAGGCTTGAAATTTTTCTTCAGTTTCCTCAGCTTGAGAAATGTTGAGTGTGTTCTTCCTTTTGATTTTCTAATTACAGATCTTTGCACATTTCAGTATAATATTTTACTTTGTCTTCTACAACTGCCCTTTGAAATTTTCTATTCAGCTCTTTTACCTCCTCATTTCTTCCATTTGCATTAACATCCCTAATCTGGAGAGCAAGTTTCAGAATCTCTTTTTTTTTCTTAAATGTTTTATTGTGAATTATGTGATAGTTTACATGGGAGAACATTGATTTTACATTCATTCTATCGTATATC